GTGAAACTGATGATGTGCCCTGTAAACTTTTACTCAATCCACAATAAAAACCTTAAATTAAAAAAAAAAAAGAGCACTCTGGCTGTAATTCCTCCACGATTTGTTTGCTCTTCTGGCAGTCCTTGGTCCTTTTCAGTATTTTTTGCCAACATGATAATTCAGATGCATCTATTCCGCTCTGGTTTTCCTTATTCATTGTCCAACGTTCACTCTCGTATGAGGATATAGAAAATACTATGACTTGCATCAGGAGCATTTTAGTACTCAAAGGGATATCTTTGTTCTTTAAAGATATCTTTTGCAAAATACTTGCCTAATGCAATCTGTCTATTGATTTCTTGATTGCTGACTCCATGAATGTTATGAATACAAGCAAAATGAATTCTTTGAAAACTTCAATGTTTTCTCCATTTATCATGATGTTACTTACTGGTTCCGTTTTGAGGATTTTTGCTATCTTGGTTACGAATCGGGCTGTGAACCTTAAGGTCAGCGGTTCGAAACTACCAGCTGCTCTGCGGGAGAAAGATGAGGCTTTCTACTTCCGTAAGGATTTACACCCTCGGAAACCCTGTACAGGGTGCTATGGGTCGGAACCGACTCGACGGCACTTAACAACAACAACAACAAGTATTGAGTTGCAATCCATATTGAAGTTTTTGACCTTCATCAATAAGTATCTGAAGTCCTCTTTGACTCCAGCAAACAAAGTTGTGTCATATGCATATACGGCAGGTTATTGTTAATGACTCGTCCTCCAATTTTGATGCCACATTCCTATTCATATAATCCAGCTCACCATTGCTGTTGTTGCTACTATATTGTCACTACTCCTTAGAAACCCTATATATTGTTACTATGAGTCAGAATTGACTGAATGTATTTTCCATATCCTCATACGAGAGTGAACGTTGGACAATGAATAAGGAAAACCAGAGCGGAATAGATGCATCTGAATTATCATGTTGGCAAAGAATATTAAAAGGACCAAAGACTGCCAAAAGAACAAACAAATCTTGTAGGAATTACAACCAGAATGCTCTTCTGAAACAAGGATGACAAGGCTTGAGAGTCAATTCTGACTCACAGTAACATTGTACAGGGTTTCCAAGGGGTGGCTGATGGGTTTGAACCACCAATCCTGTGGTTAGCAGTTGAGTGCTGATCCTACAGCACCATTCCAGGACAGCCAAGATCAATCTGACATTAGCTTGAATTTTCCACAGCTTTCTGTCAATGTAACTGCCAGAAATTCAAGCTGGATTCAGAAGAGGACAAGGAACTAGGGATATCATTGCTGACATTAGATAGATCTTGGTTGAAAGCAGAGAATACCAGAAAGATGTTTACTTGTGCTTTATTGACTATGCAAAGACTTTTGACTGTGTGGATCATAACAACATTGCTAAGAAAGGCTATTCCAGAACACTTACTGTGCTCATGAGGAACTTGTACATAGACCAAGAGGCAGTGAATCAAAGAGAAAAAGGTACTATTAAATGGTTTCAAATCAGGAAATGTGTATGCCAGGGCTGTATTCTTTCACCATATTTATTCAATCTGTATGCTGAACAAATAATCTGAAAAAACTGGATTAAGTGAAGAACATAGCATCAGAATGGGAATGAGACTCATTAATCATCTCTGATATGCAGATGATACAAGCTTGTTTGGTGGAAGTGGAAAGGAACTAGAAACACTTACTGATGAACAGCAAAGAACACAGTCTTTCGTATAGATTGCACCTTAAATGTAAAGAAAGCAAAAATCCTCATAACTGGATCAATAAATAACATCAACACAAATGAAGAAAAGCCTGAAGTTGTCAGAGTTCTTTTTGCCTGAATCCACAACACTTATGGAAGAAGCAACAGACAAGAAATCAAAAGACATACTGCATTCGGTAAATGTGCTGCAAAGAACCACTTTAAAGTGTTAAAGAGTAAAGACGTCACTTTAAGGACTCAGATGTGCCTGACCCAATACACAGTATTTTCAATAGTCTCATATACACATGAAAGTTGAATAAGTCCATAGAAGAATTGATGCATTTGATTTATGGTGTTGGAGAAGAATTTTGAAAGTGCCATGGATTACCAAAAGAACACACATATCTG